CACACTTAAAATTCATAAAAATCCGTATTTCCAATTACACAAGTGATTTTCTTTCCTTTCTTGTTTTTCTGTTATTTCCCTCCCTCACTCTTCACGATATTTTTAAATGACAGGATTAAATATTTTATTTATCTTTACAATCAGGTTTGGTTTTTTAAAACTGTTGCAAATAGGGGGGAAATATAGCTCAGTGATAGAGCACATGCTTAGCGTACATCAGGTCCTGCGTTTATTCCCAAGTACTTCCACTAACAAAACAAAAAAACCAACAAAAAACTCCTGTTGCAAATAAAGCAAATTATTCTACAAAGAATGTATTATACTCTTAATTACATAATTTATACTGTGGTATTTCAAAAGCATTAGAAGTTATTCTGCTTTTTTATAAACTTCATTTTTTAAAAACTGAAGTACAGTCAGATACAATGTGTCAATTTCTGGTGTATAGCATAATGTTTCAGTCATACGTATACATTCACATATCCATTTTCATATTATTTTCATTATAGGTTACTACAAGATATTGAATATAGTTCCGTGTGCTATACAGAAGAAACTTGTTTTTTATCTAGTTTATATAGTAGTTAATATCCTGCAAATCTCAAACTCCCAATTTATCCCTCCCTACCCCCTTCCCCCTTGGTAACCATAAGTTTGTTTACTATGTCTTTGAGTCTGTTTGTTTTGTAGATAAGTTCATGTATCTCCTTTTTTCTTTTCTTTTTTTCTTTTTTTGGATTCCACATATGAGTGATACCATGTGGTATTTTTCTTTCTCTTTCTGGCTTGCTTAGAATGACAATCTCCAGATCCATCAATGTTGCTGCAAATGGCCTTATTTTATTCTTTTTTATTCCATTGTATAAATATACCACAGCTTCTTTATCCAGTCCTCCGTTGATGGACATCTGGGTTGCTTCCATGTCTTGGCCATTGTAAATAGTGCTGCTATGAATATTGGGGTACATACATCTTTTCGAATTAGAGTTTTCTCCAGATACATGCTCAGAAGTGGGATTGCTGGATCATAAGGTAACTCTATTTTTAGTTTTTAAAGGACTCTCCAGATTGTTTTCCATAGTGGCTGCACCAATTTATATTCCAACAGTGTGGGAGGATTCCCTTTCCCCACACCCTCTCCAGCATTTATTATTTGTAGACTTTTTAATGATGCCCATTCTGTCCAGTTTGAGGTGATACCTCATTGATTTGCATTTCTCTAATAATTAGTGATTGAGCATCTTCTAATGTGCCTATTGTCCATCTGTACGTCTTCATTGGAAAAATGTCTGTTTAGGTCTTCTGCACGTTTTTTTATTGGGTTGTTTGTTTTTTTGTTATTGAGTTGTATGACCTGTTTGAGTATTTTGGAAATTAAGCGCTTGTCGGTCACGTCATTTGCAAATATTTTCTCCCCTTTCTCGGGTTGTCTTTTCATTTTGTTTATGATTTCCTTTGCTGTGCAAAAATATAAGTTTGATTAGGTCCCATTTGTTTATGTTTGCTTTTATTTCTATTTCCTTGGGAGACTGACCTAAGAAAACACGGGTACAATTTATGTCAGAGAATGTTTTGCCTATATTCCCTTCTAGGAGTTTTGTGGTGTTATGTCTTATATTTAAGTCTTTAAGCCATTTTGAGTTAATTTTTATGTATGGTGTAGGGAGTGTTCTAACTTCATTGGCTTACATGTGGCTGTCCAGCTTTCCCAACACCACTTGCTGAAGAGACTGTCTTCTCTCCATTGTGCGTTCTGGCCTCCTTTGTTGAAGATTAATTGCCCACAGGTGTGTGGATTTATTTCTGGGGTCTCTATCCTTTCCCAGTGATCCATATGTCTGTTTTTATGCCAATACCTATGCTGTTTTGATTACTGGAGCTTTGTAGTATCTGAAGTCTGGGAGGGTTATGCCTCCAGCCTCATTCTTTTTCTTCAGTATTGGTTTGGCAGTTCTGGGTCTTTTATGGTTCCATGTAAATTATAGGATTATTTGTTCTAGTTTTGTGAAAATGTCATGGATAATTTGATAGGGATTACATTGAATCTGTAGATTGCTTTGGGTAGTATGCCATTTTAACAATATTAATTCTTCCAATCCTAGAGCATGGGATGTCTTCCCATTTCTTTGAATCATCTTCAGTTTCCTTTATCAGTGTTTTATAGTTCTCATCATGTTAAGTCTTTAACCTCCTTGGTCAGGTTTATTCCAAAGTATTTTATTTTTCTTGATGCAATTTTAAAAGGGATTTTTAAAAAGTCTCCCTTTCTGATATTTCATTATTAGTACAAAGAAATGCAACAGATTTCTGTATGTTAATTTTGTATCCTGCTACCTTGATAAATTCGTTTATCAATTCTAGTAGTTTTTGTGTGGAGTCTTAAGGGTTTTCTATGTATAGTATCATATTATCTGCATATAATGATAATTTTACGTCTTTCCTTCCAATTTGGATCCCTTTTATTTCTTTTTCTTGTTTGATTGCTGTCTAGGGCTTCAGTACTACGTTGAATAGAAGTGGTGAGGGTCGGCATCCTTGCCTTGTTTCAGATTTTAGCAGAAAGACTTTCAGCTTTTCACCATTGAGTAGTATGTTGGCTGTGGGTTTGTCATAAGTAGCTTTTATTATGTTGAGATGTGTTCCCTCTATACCCACTTTGCTAAGAGTTTTTACCATAAATGGATGTTGAATTTTATCCAGTGCTTTTTCTGCATCTATTGAGATGATGTGATTTTTGTCCTTTCTTTTATTGATGTGATGTATCACATTGATTAATTTGCATATATTGAACCATTCTTGTGTCCCTGGGATGAATCCAAGTTGATCATACTGTATGATCTTTTTTATATGTTGTTGGATTTGGTTTGCTAATATTTTGTTGAGAAGTTTTGCATCCCTATTCATCAAAGATGAATGGCCTACCATTTGTTTTTGGTAGTATCTTTGTCTAGTTTTGGTATCAGGGTGATGGTGGCTTTGTAGAATGACTTTGGAGCATTTCCTCAACTTCAGTCTTTTAGAAGAGTTTTAGAAGGCTTGGTATAAGTTCTTCATTGTATGTTTGATAGAGTCCTCTAGTTAAGCTGTCCAGTCTTGGACTTTTGTTTGCAAAAAGTTTTTTTTGTTGTTTGTTTGTTTTGTTTTTAAAGATTCTATTTCACTTTTAGTGATCAGTTTATTCAAATTATCTATTTCTTCTTGGTTTGGTTTTGGTGGGCTGTATGTTTCTGGATGCTTGTCCATTTCTGCTCGGTAGTTTAATTTGTTGATGTATAATTGTTTGTTGTATTCTGTTACGATTTTTTGTATTTCTGCAGTGTCAGTTGTTATTTCTCCTCTTTTTTTTCTTATTTTGTTTCTTTGGGTCCTCTCTTTTTTCTTCTGGGTCAACCTGTCTAAAGGTTTATTGATTTTGTTTCTCCTTTAAAAAAACCAGCTTTTGGTTTTATTGATTTTTTTCTATTTTTTAATCTCTATTTTAACCTATTTCTTCCCTGATCTTTATTATTTCTTTCCTTCTGCTGACTTTAGGATTTGTTTTTTCTTTTTTTCCTAATTTTTTAAGGTGGTAGGTTGAATTGTTTGTTTGAGGTTTTTTTTTGTTTGTTTGTTTGTTTTTGAAGGAAAGCTTGTATCACTATGACCTTCCCTCTCAGGACTGCTTTTGCTGCATCCTATAGATTTTGTGTTTTCATTGCCATTTGTTTTGAGGCATTTTTAAATTTCCTCTTTGATTTAATCATTGCCCCATTGGTTCTTTAGTAGCATGTTGTTTAGCCTCCATTTAATTGTTCTTTTTCTCGTTTTCCTTTTTTTTGGTTGATTTCTAGTTTCATGCCACTGTGAAAAGCAGAAAAGATGCTTGATAATGATTTCTATCTTAAATTTGTTGAAGCTTGTTTTGTGTTCGAGTATGTAGTCTATCCTAGAGAATGTTCCATGTGCGCTCGAAAAGAATGTGTATTCTGGGGGGGGGTTTCTGGAAGGGGATGTAAATGTCCTGAAAATATTAGTTAAGTCTGACTCTTATTTTGTGTCATTTAGGATATCTGTTTCCTTACTGATTTTCTGTCTTGAAGATCTGTCCATTGATGTCAATGGGATTTTAAAAGTCTCCTAATATTATTGTATTCCCATAAGTTTCTCCCTTTATGTCTGTATTAGTGTTTGTTTTGTATATTTAGATTCTGTGAGTTTCTTTGAACAAATTTAAGAATCTCCTAGATTATCATTTTTGTGAAAGCATTTTATTTACTACCTGTCTTAGTCTCCTCAGGCTGCTGTAACAAAATATCATAGACTGGATAGCTTATGAACAACAGATATTTATTTTGCACAGTCTGGAGTCTGGGAAGTCCAAGATCATGGTGCTGGCAGTTATGGTGTGGTGGCTGGTGAGAACCCACTTCATGATTCATAGCCATCTCTCTGTGTCTTCACATGCTGGAAGGAGCAAGCAAGCTTTCTGGGGCCTCCTTTACAAAAGCACTAATCCCATTCATGAGGGCTCTGCCCTTGTGAAACTAAGTACCTCCTTAAGGCCCCAATTCCTAATACCAGGACGTTGGACATTAGGATTTTAGCATGAATTTGAGGGGGGACACCAACATTTAGACCATACTTTAAGCATATTTAGGAGGCCCCTAAAATACCACTTTTGTAATAACATTTTCTTTACTACTTAATGTGTTTGGTTTTTTGTTAGTTTTCTCTTTATGGAACTGAATCTATCTCTTAGGTTCTTTACAGTTAACTAGTTTCAACCTATGCTTATCTAGGGTCAGCCACTTCCCTCACCTTGGTTTGTCTGTATAAACAGGTTCACAATCAGTCACTAATTCTCAGTCTCAGTTTTAAGCAAAATTTCAATTGATTAAAGATTATAATCTTATGTATGTGTTGTCTGGTAAATTTGATCTTTAAGGGGAAAAAAAGCCATATACTAATTCTTTGTACCAGTCTGAATTTTAAAATGTGCCTCAAGTGTGCTTTGTTTGTAGGTCCGTATTGTGGGAGTATGACTGTTCCCAAAGAACTTTTGCTGAACACCAATGAAGTAACTGTTCGCTTTGAGAGTGGATCCCACATTTCTGGGCGGGGTTTTTTGCTGACCTATGCCAGCAGCGACCATCCAGGTATAGCAGAAGAACCAACACAAATCTATAAACCTTTATCTGTCTTAGAATTCCTTTTGTTAGTCACCATTTCTGGACAGAATGGTGACCTCAGATACAGAATTAAGATGTGAGGGAACAGGAATGCAGTGTCTTTGTAAGTAGTTATGTCTGAACTGCTGAATTGAGCACTTTCATAGCACATATTAGATTGATCAGCTGACTTATGTGGGAGAGAGTTGGTCTCATTTCCTAGAAACTTTGGATTGCATATCTTTGGGCCTAACCTTCTGACCTTTCTAAGGTCTGGCTATTCTTTGGTGCTCCCCTGCAAACCCTTTCTTAGCCTTGGGGACAAGCCTTTTAAGCAGTGACACCCCCCACCCTTCATACACACCAGTGCACCAGCATGGGAGGCATGCAAGTGTGAGGATGATAAAGTCATGTCACAGGGGGCCCTAACCAGTGAGCTGACACATGAGCAGGAGAGAAGGGGAGCATGAACACTGATGAGAAAGGAAAGCATGACCTCACGCCTGGGCCTCGTAACCCAAAGTAATTACCGTGTTTCCCAGAGTCTGTCCAGGGTCACAGATGTGCCCACAGTTCCTGCTCTCCATCTCCTCTAGCAGAAATACTCTGGGAAGAGGGTACCCCATTCGTTTCCCACCCAGTCAATTAGATCTGACCAATCCTAGCAGGCCCCAGCATGGCCAGTGCTCACCATATGTTTCTCCCTAAGAACTGTTGAAAAGATCAAGGAAAAGAAAGAACTTCTGCAGCAAGTGTGGAAACTATGCTAAGTCAATCTAAAAGCATCAAAACCTATAGTGTCTTATAGTCTCCATTGCTGGGTATTGGTTCGATTTTACAAATTACTCCATAGAGCACACTCCTTGTAAGTCCTTGGTCTTCACTGGTCAAAGCTGATAGGCTATCTGTAGTTTCCCTAAACCCTGGCTTTGTGGTCACACAGATGTCACTAGCTAAACTGTTAAAATGTTCCTGAACCATCTCTGTGAACCGCATTGTGCTATTGAAATTGTTTTCCTTTTGCCAGGGGAGGTTATACACTTGACCTTTGGAGGTATGTGATAACAGTAATTAACCAGTGTTGGTTTTTTTGTTGGAAATAGATTCTGTTACCATTCACTGGAGAAATGCTGAAAAACCATCAGTGATGGTAGAAAAGAAAAATCAAGGGAACTGATGAAATCCTGGAGATGGTGTCTCAGTCATTTATTTTTAAACAGAAGAGTTCAGATAACTAGATAATAAATAAATGCTTTCACAGAACTGGGTGTTATTTTAAATCTTTAGGGCATAAGTGTCCTAACTTCCATACATTCTGCTAATTGCAATTATCTTTATTTATGACAGATTTAATAACGTGTTTGGAACGAGCTAATCATTATTTGGACACAGAATACAGGTAAATACAGGGGTCCTCGCTGTGCAGCTGTCATTTGTTGCTGAACATTTTGTTTTCCTTGACATTAAACTGGAGAAAGTACCTAATTTGTGTTTAATTTAATTTTTAAAATAATCATCTATGTAGAACATAGATGTAGAACTAATAAGGAGTATTTGAAATGGTTTCTTATACAGCAGAGGTCAGCAAGCTTTTTCTGGCAAAGGCCAGATAGTAAATATTTTATGTTTTGCAGGCAATGCGGTCTCTTTGGCATCTGTTCAGACAGCTTCTGTTGCCTTTGTAGCACAAAAGCAGCCATAGACAACGTGTCTGTGCATGAATGAGGATGTCTGTGTTCCACTAAAACTTTATTTATAAAAAAAAAAGTGCAGGCTGGATTTGGCACATGGGTCATAGTTTGCTGACCCCAGAGTTCTCTAGTACCACTGAGCCAAGATGGAGTCTAGAGTGCATTTTTTACCTGACCAGCATTTGGAAGTGACTTTTGTAATTCTGGAGGGGGTTCATTTTTTCTTTCCCACAAAAAGAAACCTACTGAGAATAGGAGATGAAAATTTTCATCCCAACTTTACTTTCACTGGAAAGGAAAAATTACTTAATCTTGTTGATGTACATTTTCTTATCTCTAAAGTAAAAGGGTCTGGGGGAGTTTCTCAGCCTTGGCACGGTTGATATTTTGCATGGATGACTTCTGTTGTGAGGAGCTGTTCTGCACATTGTGGACATTTAGCAGCATCCCTGGCCTAGGTATTCTGTGTGCCATTTATGATAAGTCTCTCTAGACATTTCCAAATGTCTCCTGATGGGCAGAAGTCACCCCTAGTTGAGAACCATTGGCCTAGAAGCCATTGTCAACAAAAACACGAACAACAACGCTAACTCTTCAGAATGTTTTCTTAGCACCAGGTACAGCTGGCTGGATTTAGCATATAGATAGCTCATGTGAATGTTCCAATATGCCGACAAGGCGGGTTCTCTTACACCCCCAAAACAGAGGCACGAAGCAGTTAAGTAACTGGCTTAGGGCTACACAATAAGTAACTTCCCCAAAAGTCAAGCTCAAGAGTCCATGGTCCTAACCATCTGACTACTAATCAATGAGATTCTTTTATATGCAGAATCAACTTCATTGTTTCCTAATATGAAGTCTAGCACATAAAAGACAAAAATGAAAATGACAAATAATTAAATGTTGCCCTTAAAGTTGTCATTCATCCAGTACACATGCTCACCAACATCTTCCCTCCAGCCATACGGGTACAATCCCTGTGGTGACAGGGCCTCTGGGCATCAGCAGTCATTTCCTATCCTCTTAAAGAAAGGGACACATTCACCTCTACAGTGTGATGTTGCGGTGCCAGGTCACCTAAGCTGTAGTCCAGCTGTTCTGTAGTGTCCGTTATAGATAAGGTGTGATGGCTAGTATAGGTCAGTAATCCTTCACCCATGACTGTGAAATGTAGAAAGTTTTAAAAGTCAGAAGATTTTTGTAACTCATTTGGTGGCAGTACCTGATTAATGTGACCTTAAATTCATCTGACAGCAAAAATTGGACTCAATTAAACATGAGGCTGTTCTGACTTCATATATATTTCACTCAATATGACTATCCATGGATTCAATACAGAGATATTACTGTTTTGATTAATATTTGCAGACCTCACTGGAGTCTTGCATCATATGGATCATTGGCACTGTTTGACTTTTCTAAAACTCCCCAAATCCGGAATTCTGAAATACACCTGGCTCTAAGGATTAGGATAAGAAGCTGTAAACCTGTAATAGGATTCTTGTCATTTTTATTTCTTAATTCCTTGATGTTTTGCTGCAGTGCTGGATTCCCTTAGGTCAATGGGGGAGAATTATGAAACCTTTATTTGGGTAGTTTTGATAATTAGATGTTGTTACACATCTAATATGCTGAGTTAGCAGGAGGAAACTGAGAGGAAATAACATAAAAGCAGCTGCTATTTTGGAATCTGTTTGGGCTGGTACATTCTTCTTAAACAAACCAAGTGAACATGATTGTAATGTGGCATACATAGAAGCAAGGGCATATGGCATTCCTCTTCAAAGCTGTCAATGTTCATATAATATTTTGAGTTTCCTTTTGCATGTTTTTGGTAGATGTATAGCTGTCCCTCAGAGCCTACTGATATGTTGACCCTGATGGAAACAGATGAGGAAACTGAATTTAAAAGGAATGATATGGTTACATGGCTAGTTAGGTAGTAACAGAGCCGAGGTCACTGCATCTAAGCCCCTTCGGCCGAACCATATGCCAAGACATCTTTCTGGGAAGTTTCTTGAAAAATGACTCTGAAGTAAATGGAATCCTAATTTTAAATATACCTCTTTTAGTCAAACTCATAAAAACAAAGTAGAAAAGTAGTTGCCAGAGGCTGGGGGTTAGGGGAGATAGGGAGAGGTTGATAAAAGGGTATAAACTTTCAGCTGTAACGTGAATAAGGTCTGAAGATCTAATGTATAATGGTGACTATTGCTGATAACACCATATTGTATAATTGAAATTTGCTAAGAGAGTAGAACTTAAATGTTCTCACCAAAAATATATGTGTGTGTGTGTGTGTGTGTATACATATATGCATATACTCGTGTGTGTGTGTGTGTGTGTGTGTGTGTGGTGATGGCTGTGTTAGTTAATTAGACGGGAGGAATCCTTTCACGGTGTGTGCATATATCAAACCATCACAGTGTATCCTTTTTATTTGTCAGTTATACACCAATAAAGCTAAAATATATATATACCCTTTTTCTTCTGATTGTAAAAGTAATTTATAACTAATGTAGACCATCACTATCCAAGACTAGCCACATGTGGCTCTCAGGCACTTAAACCTGGCTAATTCAAATTGAGATGTGCTGTCAGTATAAAACAGACTGCAGATTTTGAAGATTTACTATTGAAAAAAAAAGACTGGAAGTATCTTGATAATTTTTTCTGTTCATTACTTGTGGAAATGATAAAATTTGAATCTATTGAGTTAAATAGATTATATTACCGATATTAATTTTCCCTGTTTCTTTTCACGTTTTTAATATGGCTACTAAATATTTAAATTTGCATGTCTGGTTTCCATTATGTTCTAATAGGATAATGCCTGTAGAATGAATCCACATTTACAGAGTTAAATAACACAGAAAGTGAAGGTTCCTCAAAATCCTGCACTCAGAGAATCCAGAGATAGTCCTCCTTGTTTCCTTCTTGGCACAGAAAACATAGGTGGTTGTTTTATATATTTTACACATTTCTTTTTATAAAAACAAGATTAAGTTATATAGTGTTTAGAAACTTTACCTTTTTTCTTGAAAACATTTCTTGGACATCTTAAAATCAATTAAGATGCATTAGGGAAGCTCATTGTTTAATAGAGATTGTAATGAATCCTTATATAAAGCAAATAGTTTTTGTGTTAAACTAGCCTTCAGATTAACATTTTAGATTAATCTGTTTTTACAAATCAGGCTTCTGACTTATTATTTAAAAGAAGATATCTCTGCATGCTGTATGGAGGAGAGAAAATACTTTTATGTATAATTTGTTTTAACTTAAGCACAACTTAATAAAATATAAACTCTCTATTTTCTTTTCCCAGCAAGTTCTGCCCAGCGGGTTGTAGAGACATAGCAGGAGATATTTCTGGGAATGTGGTGGATGGATATAGAGATGTAAGTAACTAAGGGCAATTTTACGGCAGGGAGGGAATTAAAAAGAGTTGGTGCCTGTGGCTCTGCCTAAATTCATTACAAAGTAAAGTCAAGTAAGATATAAAACTTGGTAGATAGATGCACAGTTCTCTCTGTCCTGAGAATAAATGAAATAATACATATAAAGCCCAGCGTTACTCATGCATTGGTTCCTATTTTTAGCATTTCCAGTTAAGCATTCTGTAAGTGAAAGGGTTAAACAGAACCCTTTATTATACCCGAAGGGTATAATTCCATCCAGTTTCTATGAGAGATCACCCTTTTTCTTATAATTAATTTCTTTATTTTAATACTCCAATTGATTCATATAGTACAGGCAAGGACATGAACATTTTATGCCACAGAACAGAGACACTGTATCTGGGGCCAGTTAAGCCATTTGCCCTGCTCTTGTATATTACTTCCCTCCCTCTTTGCACCCCAATTTCTTATGCCTATTGAGACTCTCTGGATATTCCCGGAGAAAAATTAATTCACAAGAAATCATTTTCTGAAGTTTATGTCTTATATCCAGATACACAGTCCTTCATTTCTTACTGTTTACAGATTTCTATCCTGGAAATCTGATACCTGATTTTTTTAAATTTACATTGCTATTTAAAATAGTCAGGTTTATAATTTATAGAATCAGCTCAAGTTATTAGAAATGTGGAAATCTGTCTAGTGGTGGAACTTCTGTAAGAGTTACTGATACGTGTCTTTATGCATGGGGAAAACATACAGCTTTTAGGGGATTGAGCACTTATCTCCAGCAGGAGGGGAAAAACTTGGCTTTAATTTTGCTTTTAGCACATCCTGATTCTGGGAGCAGCAGATTTTGTGATTTTGCTGTTTGTTTCCTTTTTCATGCATTGTTTTGATTTACAGGATTGACATGTGGTAGGTATTGATTTGGCCTGTAAACTATTTGAATCATAAAATGATTTACCATACCTCAGTTTGAAAATACACTTGGCACAGACTGAAGTCCTAAATGACTTCAGGAAATTAACTAAAAGAAATAAGAAGTTGAGGTATAGTTTTTCCCCCTGGCAATATGAAGTTTTAATTTATTATTTTGTAATGTGTAAGAAACGTATGAATTATGTACAATAAGAAAAATAGTATCATTTTCTTCCCTTTCTTTCATTGTTTATCTTGCCTCCTCTTGACAGAGTTGTCTTTTTCAGGGTAACAGGGTAACAGGTGAGTGGTGTCCCGCATGGTAGATCTGAGTACTTAATCGGCAAGTGCTAGCAAACAAGTTTCCTATTTGGTGCAAAAACTGGCTTTACATCGTTTGCTTTTAGATTGATTTTACCTGGAGCGAAAATTTGTATTTAGAAAGCTAACCTCTTCAAAGAGGTCTGAATAGTGTCTTCTTTGTATACATTGATATGGTGGGTGTATTCGATACCTATTGCTACACATTACCAAAAACTTAGAAGCTTAAAACAACTTATGTTTTATCTCTCACTTTCTGTGGGTCAGGGGTTTGAGCTTGGCTTAGCTGAGTTCTCTGCTTCAGGAACACTCACAAGGGTGCATTCGAGGTGACACAAAGGTGTCAGTAGGGCTGCAGTTTCATCTGAGGCTTGCCTGGGGAAGGAACTGCTTCTAAGCTTATGTGATGGTGTTGGCAGCATTTGATTGTTCAAAGGGGTGGTGAAGGATGTGCCCCCTGCTGGTTTCCCTGGTAACCAATGAGCCAGCCAGACCTCAGTTCTCCCATAACTGCTAACCTCCCCTGCCCCTGGGAGAAGACGTCTGCCACACGCAGTGGAGTGTTGCTCTAGGACCTTGCTTTAGATGTGTAAAATTCCCCACCCATTAGACCCTAAAATATTCATGAGGTATTGTGAATTAAAGGCAGACAGTACATATGGTGTGCTCCTGGTTGAGGGTGCATACACCCTCAAAAAGCCAGAGGCAAATACGTTATATTGGTGAGTGATTGTCTCCAAGTGACGACAATGTGATTTTATGTTTTTCACATTTTCCAAAATTTCTATAATGAATGTATATTACTTCTCTAAAGAAAATGCTGTCATCATGGTAATTATGAAGACTATAGCAGCACTGAAGCAATTCATAGGATAGTGTCAACTGCTTAACAAATCACCTCAAAATTTAGTGGCTTGAACTGACAGCCGTGTTCCCTGCTGATGAGTTTGTGGGTCAGCAGTTTGGGCTGGTTGGTTCTTAAGCTCCCTTTGCCCAGAAATATTCCTGTAGCTCTACTCATGTGGCAGATCATTCGGGGCCCGAGTCTAAGGGGCCTCACCGACATGTGTGGCGGTTGGCAGGGCCACGTTACCTGCAGCAGAACAAAGCAAGCGACAGGGTCCTGTTCAGAGTCGGTGTGGGAGGTGACTGCACAGGGCACGGCCACCATAGGCGTTATTCACTGGGAGCCATGAATACAGTAAATTACCTCCCTTCTTTCCTACCTAATGGAAAGTTCCTAAGTTAGTCCACATAAATATGGTGACTCTGATATTCTTCTCAAATAGTTACACAATAATTTTCTTCCAAAGTTGTCTACTTTTTATTTAAATGAATTATAATTGAGCTATGTCATGGGTCCAGCAGGGATCCTGACCACAAGTTGTAACAAAGTGGAAAACTCCCACTGTAGTTCAGATGTGTTGATGAGTAATTTCTAAGCGATGATGTTGCTGTGTTTCAGACCTCTTTATTGTGCAAAGCCGCCATCCATGCGGGAATAATTGCAGATGAAGTGGGTGGTCAGATCAGCGTGCTTCTGCAGAAAGGGATAAGTCGCTATGAAGGAATCCTGGCCAATGGTGTGCTCTCAAGGGAGTAAGTACTTTGCCTTTTGTTCTGAGTGGAAGGTAACCCTGCAGGCATAATTAATCAGCTCACAATTTTGAAAGAGCTGCAGGCCTGTGATACCAAGGGTTTGTCAACTGGGGAAAATATGTATGAGTGCTTAGAGCGGCATTTATGGTGTCAATGTGGAAGACAAATGTAGCAGTAAAAAAGCTCACTGGTTATGCTGGCAAGTTAAGTTAAAATGGCGCACGTCTGAAGTAGAGGGCAGAAGAGTATTCTGCTCTCAGGTGTGTCAGTGGGAGGGAGTATAAAGGCTTATTCCTCTTAAGTGTTTCCAGTTTCTATAAATTACTGGTTATCGCCAATATTACCAAAGATACTAAAGGAGACAAGGGACTGAAACCCAGGCAGAACCACTGAACTCCCTGGAGGATCCCTAGGCACAATCTCTTAAAGATGAGTAATAGTTGGGAAGTGAAAAAATATGGCTTTTGTTGACATTGTTAACGTCTCTCTTTGGTGTTATCCTCTGATCTTTTAGCTTCATAAGAAAAATGTCACTTACTTTAAACGTTTCGGCCTCAACTTTTATTGCTTTCAGGTTTCCTCAGCTTCTAGAGTAGAAAACTAGAGCTGTTAGAACTAAATATAGACCAGCCTTGGGCTCCAGATGGCCACCCCTCTAAACAGGCAGCTTGGAATGGTCCAGAGGGAAACTCCCCTGGGATGGGTGGACCTAGTGAGGGAACAGGGTTCCTCCAGCCACACTGTGGGGTTGGTTCCAGGATCCCCCAGATATGAAAATCCGTAGATGCTCAAGTCCCTTATATAAAATGGCATAATATTTACATATAACTAGGCACATCCTCCTGTGTACTTTAAATCATCTCTAGATTATTTATAACACCTAATACAATGTATGTGCTGTGTAAAGAGTTGTAAATACATGTAATTAGTTGCTAGCATGAGGCAAATTCAAATTTGCTTTTTGGAGCCTTCTGGAATTTTTTTTCTGAATATTTTCACTTCATGATTGGTTGAATCTGGGGATGTAGAACCTGTGGATATGGCCAACTGTAGACACACACATATGTACTGTATATAAATAACATTTTATATTATATATCACATATGAATTTTATATATGCACACACATATGTGTATTCATTTTTTCACTTATGTATTTGCCTCAGATTCTGAAACATTAGAAGTTATAATTAAGTTTTGGAAATTAAAATGTATATCCTGATTTATAGTAAACGTGATTACTTTATGCACAGTAAGCTTTACATGTCTGCTTGACTTTGACCTGCGAGGATCCGTTCCTCTATGTCTTCTGTGGCTTGCTCCACTGATGCTCTGGTGCTGTCTGAGGAAGGCAACGAGCTGCGGCCTGGACTTGCTGGCTGCTGCTGTCTCCAAATAGAAACGAAGAACTGGCCTTTGGCTTTAAATCTGTTTGTTGGAGTCGCTTGCCTATGTCTGTATATATTTGAATGCTTCTTTTGTCAAAAAATAGGACAGTAAAAAATTTAACTTGTACTGTTTTGATTTTATCTAATTTTGAAGAAAAATTCTTTAATCTATTGAATAGAAGTAGACATAGTGTTCTCAATTACTTCTGCTACATCAACTGGACTTAAAACGTAGGAAGTCACTTTATCTCATTTGATATTACACTTTGCTTCAAAAATAAGAGTCTGGAAATCTAAACTATTAATGAATTAGGAAGAGTTTTGCTCCACATCCCATACAGTTGTTTGAACAGACTGTCCGGTTTTTATTTGGGTGGGAGTCGCCAGACAGCCCAGAATTACAGCCAGGCCCCTTCTCCCTTCTGGCTCGGTGGGTTGGGCTGTCGGCCTGCAGCGAGCTGTGCGCTCTGTCTCTTCCCCTCGCCTCCACTCCCGGATCTTCAGGGAGCAGCTGTTTTGACCTGTGCTGTTTTGCTGTGCGGGAAGCACTGTACATGCGGTCATTGAACTTCTGTTCCCACACATCATTGTTTGGCGTTCAGGAAGAAACACAGAAGGAAGCGCAGCCTCTGAGGAAGATGGGGTCCCTAAAGTAAATATCTCGGTTCTTCTGGGATTCATCCCGGGTCGGGTCACTTCCTGGATCTGAGGAGACCAGAATGGAATCAGGAAGAGCGACTGACCTCACGCAGAGGATGATGGCTCAGACCATCTGCAGGGAAGGCTTTTCTGTGTGTTTATATCAGATTATTCCTGATCACTTCTACAGTCCCTCGGGAAGGCTGACAATTCCTGGATCTGGTTGAATTCATTCACTCTAATGTGTGAATGCCCTAGAACCCCATTCTCCCTAGGGCGTTTTCATTTTTTAAAGAGGAAGCTTTTCTGTCTACAGAGTTCTTCCTAGGTGGCTGTATTTAGTCAGTTTGACTGGGTGAAATGGAAAAGCATATTCCAGCTGATACTAGAGGAAAGCCAGGCAGAGGGATCTTGGAAGCAGAGCCGTGCCCGGCATCTTCTTCTCAGGGTTAACTCCAAAGCTAACCTTCTTTTCATAACTTCTCTTTTTCAACAGCAACAAAATAAACATTTTAATGTTTTGTGCCACTGACAGAACATTTATGTGATCCGGGTTGCAGCAGTATTATTTGGGCTTATCTGGGCCAAATGTCACTAATACTTAGTGCAGGAACAGTAGAGAAAATGGAAAAGTCAGTCAAAGAGTGGCTTTAAATAAATGGTAACAAAAATTTAAATCTGAATTGCAACAACATGCACCTTTTTTCAAAGGTTAGGAGAGCTGGGTCCTCACCCCAGCTTGGCAGCTGACCGGGAACCGAGGAAAGCGCACCTGCGTTTCCTCCTGTGCGAAGTGACTGGTGCCTGCGTTATATTTGGCACAGATTATAACAGAACCTTTAAATGGAAAACCAGGCTGATGAAATCTCTGCCTGAGAGTGGACGAAGAATATGAAAGAGAAACTCCATTCCAGAGGCTTTGACTACCTGCTACTTCTTAAAAACAAAAAAAACCAAAACCCCCACAAAACCTTTGATGTGAAGGTGCTTGTACTCCTGTCCAGACTATCTTGGGGCTCTTGTGGATTTCACATTTCAGTACTCTCTGTCAGTTATTATCACCCAGCATTCGGAGTTAATCATTTACAATAGGAAGCAGCATTCTCAGATTGTAAAATGATTGACCATGAGTGACAGCTACCTTTTTTTGTTCACCTCTGGTATCTAACATAGTATAACGCACATAAGATTAATTCTTGAGGATTCCAAGTTTTCTATTTGTGCCGTGTATTGTTGCACCATTGCGTTGGTGAGGAATTTACAAGAAGGTAAATGTGACCTTAGGCCTTAGGGATCTCTCCTCTGCAGAAGGGGACAACAGCAGGACACGGCTGATTTGATAAGCTTACCCAGGAGAGTGATACAAGCCATGGAACCGGAGGGTCCAGAGGCCCGGGGCGCATGCCACATGAACAGGGCTGCCTTGCTGTGGTGAAGGCCCAGTTCAGGACCGGTCAGTGAGGCGCTGAGTTTTCTCTGGCTGCACCTTGTCATCCAGGAGCAGGCGCTGCTTCAGGCCTGGCATGGCCACTGCAGTAGGTAGGACTGTGACCAGAGAGAGACTGGGCTGAGGCTGTCCCCCGAGCCATGCTGCGGGGGCAGAAGCCCTCAGGGAAGGAGTGGCCACGTCTGGAGAGGAGGCAGCTAGCAAATGGCAAGCTCATTCTTCTAACAGTGGCAGGGTCTCCGTGTCTGTTGACGACCAGCAGGGCGCCGTGGGGTGACTGCTGGAGTAAAGGGAATGTCCAGGGCCGTCATCCTGTCTGCCTCCATCACCACATCTTAGTTAGCTGGGATTTAAGGGCGATCCAGAGACTGGATGTACACAGTGCTTCCCATCACAGCGTGGTGTGGTGTGTGCTGATGGAAGCAGCACAGGAGTTTGATTCAGAAGCAGTGTCTCAAGAGTCCTGGCCACTTGTACCTGTATGAACTTAGGAAAGTCACTTACCTTTGATGGGCCCAAGTTTCTTGGTCTGTGAAATACCAGTAACCTGAGAGAACAACTGTGGCCTTGCCGGGGGCTGCGAGGACTGCACGAGGTGTGGGGAGGCCTGGAGCCCCTGCTGTAGCGGTGTGTCCGTCATTAAGATCCAGTTAAGCAACTCACCTCCTCGTCTTTGTGTTTATTATTTCAGTGGTTCCCTGTCAGACAAGCGATTTCTGTTTACCTCCAATGGTAAGGATCACGCTTTGCTTGAAAATTTGGTATTTTAAAATCTTCAGGGGTAGTTTATTCTTCCATACCCCTCAGATGATAATCGTTTAAAGGATTATTTCTTCTTTTTCCCTCAGGTCACATAGCACCAAGTATGCTGTGACTTAAAAATACATAAGGCAAGAGACCCAATTAGCATTAAACGGCAAATATTTTTCTTTAGAGTTTCTCTCAAGACTTTTGCCAAAAATGAAAATTTGAAATGACATTTATTTTAAGATAAATTCCTTTACGTTAGATTTTAACAGGAAAAAAAAAGCTTTTAAATTGTACTATTTGATTTATATCTGGAATGACATTATTGAAAATGAATATATAGAATGAAGGCTTTTTAGCCCCTCCATCATGGAATATATTCTGTGTAAATATTTTCCCTCACATATAAAATAGTTCAAGGAGAATAATATGGACTTGTCTTCTTGGCCATTATTGCCACCTCCACCTGGTCTTGGATGTGGTGTAGTTAAGCTCTCAGGGGTGATGTTGGGTACAACTTACTGATCTTCAGAGCACCTGATGGACTGCTCTTCAAGGGTACAGAGAGTGGAGTCCCCTTTGATCAAGGAAGAGGAGCCTCAGCATTTTAAACCTTTAAAACACTTTGTGCTTTGTTGAAATCAGGGTGAATTTAGGGGGTTAGAAAGGAGAATCTACACGGGGACAGAGAGATGTCACTAATAGGGGTTATAGGTCCAATAAGAAGAAAAGCAGCAACAGTTTCAAGACACCACAGTACCAATGGGTGAAATACAAGTCTGGATCATTCACAAACTAGTAATTAAACAGTAGATTCAGTATCAGAATGGAAGTAAATCACTTGAATAATTCTGGGTGGAGCAGGGTACTTGGGTTTTTTTTGCTTCTTTTTTTTGCTTTTTTGCTTTCATTTTGTGTCTACATTTGAAATATTTTCCTGCCCTTTTTTCTAGGTTGTAACAGATCCCTGAGTTTGGAACCTGACAGGCAAATCAGAGCTTCTTCTTCTTGGGAGTGGACCAATGAGGCTGGAGACCAGGTTCGTTGGTCTCCTGGCCAAGCCCGACTTCAGGACCAAGGCCCGTCGTGGGCTTCAGGGGACAGGAGCAAGAACCACAAACAGCGAGAGTGGCTCAGGATAGATTTGGGAGAGAAAAAGAAAATAACAGGTAGTGACACAGTGCAGTTTCACAAAACAAAATGACCTGCAGTTGAAATTATATTTTCGATTTGTCTAGGTGTCCCTACCTCAAAGTTCTCCATGTCTTGTTGAAAAGTAACAAATCTTCACATTGTCTCTGTGGGAGGAGCCTGTGTGCAGGTTGTAAATATGGATGTATGGATTAGAAAGCTGATACCTCGGTGCTGAACCCTTTTTATGGCATGTTGTCAGTGTGAAAACACTCATCTATGATCCAGTTTTTAAATGCAAATAAGAAAAGTAGGCCTGTAAAATGATTTGAAATTTCAAATGAAGGGGGAAAAAAAAGAAACCTGAAATTGCAATACATGCTATAGATAACATATTTTTAAAACTAACCCATAAATAATATTTTTTTTACAAGGAATTAGGACCACAGGATCCACACAGTCAAATTTCAACTTTTACGTAAAGAGTTTTGTAATGAACTTCAGAAACAATGACTCCAAGTGGAAGACCTATAAAGGAATTGTGAATAATGAAGAAAAGGTAAGAGACACTGTGGAGGAAAGAACTGAGTAGGAGAGTGGACCTCCAAATGTCTTCATCAATGTGTTTCCAGAAAACTGATGCACAGCGCCCCCTCGGGTTACTTAGCCTTTGATTGCAAAGCCTCATGTCAACAGCAAGCATGTCAATAAAAATACAGCAGACAGAGAATCCTGGCTTTGATTTTCCTATAACCAGGTTTATACTTTATGAATTTTGAACATGTAAATGTATAAGGTATTCGAGTAATAAATATTAAAAATACATTTATTTTTTCAGAGTATAAAATAATTTGCATATTAATTTTATAAAATTTGGAATGATTAGGTATATGAATAAGAAGATAAAAATCGTAAGACCTAGAAATGAATGGAATCTCCAGGTAAGAGTTACTTGTTTCGACAGGTGTTTCAGGGCAACTTGAATTTCCGGGACCCTGTGCGGAACAATTTCATCCCTCCCATTGTGGCCAGATATGTGCGAGTTATCCCCCAGACATGGCACCAGAGGATAGCCTTGAAAGTGGAGCTCATTGGCTGCCAGATTACACCAAGTGAGACTCAGGGTGAGTCAGTGAGTTACTGGATTCTGGTCGTCTCCTTCCCCAAGGTGGTGTTACTAACGTGGTTTTTCCAATCTCTCTTCTCTCTCAGGGAATGACTCATTGGTGTGGCGCAAAACAAGTCCAAATATCGTTGGTTCAACTAAAAGAGAAGATGAGACAATCTCAAAACCCACCCCCTCTGAAGAAATGCCAGAAGGTAGAGCAGTTATCATTTTGTGGATTCTTAAGGAATATAACTGGTACTCTATCCAGTAATACAGTAGCTTTAACAAAATTTTTTTCCTCTGTCACATAAATGTCTTGGGGCAGTTGGTCCACAGGTATCTGCACATGAATGAAGTAACCAATATTCACACTACTCACTGAAATATTTTAAGTAGAAAAAGATTGGAAGTAAATGTATGTGCCCTTCCAACTAAGGAAATCTTTTATGGAAAAATAACACTTCCACACCATGAAATATATAGCCATAAAAAAGAGCATGTTAGTAATATAGGAAGTCCTCTGAGATATACTGACAACTTAAAATAATAAGCACGGTACAGAACAGTCTATATAGTGCTTTACCACATGTGTGAAAGCGGGGAATATCTGGGAAAACATCAAGAAACATGATTTCACTTCCTGTGGAGAAGGAACAGAAGTAGAAGGGAGACATTACATTCCAGACCTTTCTATACTTAAAAAATTTTTTTAAATTGAAGTATAGCTGATCTACAATGTTGTACTAGTTTCAGGTGTACAGCAGAGTGATTCAGTTATATATACACACACACATATTCTTTTTCAGATTCTCTTCCATTACAGGTTATTACAAGATACTGAATATAGTTCCCTGTGCTCTACAGTGGGTCCTTGTCATTTATCTGTTTTATATATAGTAGCATGTACCTGTTAATCTCAAACTCCTAAATTATTCCTCCCTGGCTTTTTCTACTTTTTGAATTTTGAACATGTAAATGTATAATCTATTCAAGTAATAAATATTAAAAATATTAAAATACATTTATTGTTTCAGAATATAAAATAATCTTATTAATTTTATAAAATTTGGAAAGATTAGATGTATAAATAAGAAAATAAAAATCATAAATCAGCATCCACAGATAATCAGCATATTCCACTCTATGCAGTCAACCATAGGTATAACTTTTAGACAAAATGGTAGCACACCATGTATTTTGTTCTGTAGCAGACACTTTTCACTTGACACTGTATTATGAGCATTTTCCAATGCTTTGAAATAGTTGAAAAACATATCTTTATAGTATTTTTTCATATGGACATACCATCATTTAGTTAACCATTCCCATATTATTGGATGTTTAAGTTGTTATATTTTTCCCAAATTTCTACTCTTATGAGTAACACCACCGTTATCTGCATAAATTTGGTTCCCTTCTAAGTTTCTTATCCTCCCTTTCATGAACTACAATTTCTACTTCTGATCACTCCTTTATTTTCTTCCCAGGGAACACAGAAAAGGGTGAAGAACAAACATTTACCTTTTAGTTTTCATAGTTTCTACAAGCTTGGGGCCTCTTCAGTGGCTGTTTTAGTGACCTTCCTCCTTAAAAAAGACAGTTGTAGGAAGACGCGCTCTGGTGTTTCACGCAGCAGAGTGGAAATGCTGCTGAGATCATCAGGCTGCATTTCCTTTCAGCCCACAGTTCCCAAGCTCTGGTTCCCAGAGCCTCTGTTACTACACAGGTCCAAACTCGCCCACTGTCTGGGGGAACTGGTTGCTTAAGCCAAACTAAGAGCTCTCCTGTGCTTATTAAATCATCCACCTGCCTGAATAGCTCCTGGCTGTGGCCCAGCTATACACCTTCCCCCTCAATTTTGATTTTGGGAATCTAATATGGTCCAAGCAACAAACTTAGAGTGAATGTTAATCCCAAGTAACACTGGAAGGTGCCTTTGGGGGAAAAAAAAAGACAAATTTTATTTTCCTAAACTTTAGCAAGGGTTTTGAATCCTTTTTCCCTTTCAATATCGGTAAATGCCAAGCATGCATTCTTTTCCTTGTATGTTAAACTGTTGAAGCTCTTTCAAATCATGTTCAGTTTTAGATCGTAAGATTCGGTTGCCGTTCATTTCTGTTGTAACGTGGTGGTTTTTCCCCTTCTTAGGAATAAGCATCACAACTCTTGTTATTCCACTGGTGCTCCTCGCCCTGCTGATGGCTGCAGTGGGAATCTTCGCGGTCCTTAGAAGGTATGTGACTTCACATTAAAAATTTTTTCTTTAATTATGTAAACAATCAGAAAACCAAAAGTTTACTCTTCCGTTGTTCATGTGTAGAAAAGCAACATTACTTCTTCTATGATAAAATGTTAACTTACATTTTAAAAACAAGTTGGCTAGAGGTAGAAAGTATCAAGTATTATTTTATGAACAGTAATTACCCTCTAGAAGCCTTTTCAGTGGGATTTTTTGTCTTGATAGGAGGAAGAAGAAAGGAAATACTTATGGATCAGCAAAGATTCAGAAAACAGGTTGGTTGAAAACTCTACGGTTTTGTTCTGTCTTTGAGGAAGAGACAGGATCTGCTGATGAAAAGGACCTAACCATGCTTTTAATCAGCAGATCCTCATTAAAACCCTTACATGGCTAAAGAAATAAGAGCTAATGGCTCAAAGTAGGGGATAGGGTATAGCTCAATTGGTAGAGTGCTTGCTTAGCATGCACAGAGTCCTGGGTTCAATCTCCAGTACCTCCATCAAAAACAAACAAATAAATAAACCTAATGGTCTAAGTAGACTAATGGCTCTAAGCCTATAAGGAAGGAATATATTATATCATATCTCATTAATTCAGATTTTCATAGCCAGTTTACTTTTATTTTTGTTCAACATCTTATCATTTGAAAACTTTTTTTTTCGGACAACTGGCATTTAGGTCACCACCCTGCCTGTCATCAAGGAGAAGTTAGAAAAGCCCCATCTGTGAACTGAACATTGTCCAGCACTCTCTGGTATCTGCAGGCCTCTACTGGACTCTTCTGTCTGAAAGAGTGGGGGAAGGACTAGCTGGGCAGGTTTCAGAGAATCCATAGGACACAGGATGGCCAAGCAACAAGTCATCTGTGGTCCAGAGAGAGGTCAGCAGTTCAGGATTCCTGAGAATCTCAAGGTCAACTTGCGACTCCACTTCCATAGGCTCTAAACAGCCAGCTGTGTTGACTCCTCAAGGTCACAGATGCCGGGTCAGTGCAGATTAGGGAAAACTGTGGCCAGGTGGTCTAACCTAGGGGTAATCTGGGACCTGCGGGCTACACAAATACATTTTCAGGCCCAGCACAAAGCGTGGTGTTTGCTGTTGTAATGACCTCAGCATGCTGTTTCCACCACACACAGCTGAAGAGCTGTGGTTGTGCATTTATCTCGCTCGGGGGCCAAGGCAGCCTGCCCTCTGCCTTAACGAGGAACACATCCTGGAGTATGTGTGTTCCGAGGTATGTATGGGTTTGTTTCTTGTCTTTATTCCAGACTGTTGGAAGCAAATCAAATATCCTTTTGCTAGGCATCAGTCAGCTGAGTTTACCATCAGCTACAATAATGAAAAGGAGGTATCACAAAAGCTGGATCTCATCACAAGTGACATGGCAGGTAAGTACCAAGCCTCTGACAGGGCTGTTAGCCAGGAGGGGCTGCGTACGGGGGAAGGGCTCTTACGTACCTGCAGGGGCCATAATGACTCTCATAGCAATGGTCCTGCAATGTCACTGAAACCTGAAAGCCCTTAATTAAACTTAAGATGAATTAAGTACAGCTCCTGCCCTTGAGGAAGAGGAGGTAGGAGATGAAGGAATCAGAATGGCCTCAGTGTCCCAGACAAGCCATTGTCTAGAGCCAGGCTTCCCAACTATTTGTGAGGAAGGATCCATTTTTTGCTTTAAAAAAAAAAAGTTCTAATACATCAAGGACTAATATTTTTATAAATTAGTAGTAGTAATGACATTTTTTAAAAGACATACAAAATACATAGCTCTAATTTTTTAATTAGACTCAAAAGACATAAAACTACTCTCTCAAATTACTGTTTCTGAACACTTGCTCCCCGTCTGGGCACTTCTCTCTTTGCAGACCTGTCACAAACAGTTCTCAGACGCGTAGGCGCCCACAGGCCACACGCTGAGTAGCGCGGCTCTAGCTTCTTGCTACTCACAGTGTGTTCTGAGGACCAGCAGCCGCACCCAGGAGCTTGCTACAAGTGCGGGCTTTCAGGCCGTGCCCTAGGCCTAGGAACCAGCAGTTCCCAGGCGCTGTGTCAGAAAGGTGCCAGTGGAAAGGCTGCTTGACCTGCTTCAGGGGCAGAAGGGAGCAACCCTCCAACCAAAATCCATCTCCTTGTTCCTTTCCCAGGACGGTGCTCGCTCTGCCGTGGGGGTGAAGCGAGGAGAGGGAGGAGCCCTGGCCTGTCCTCTGCTTCCTACTCTTCTTCAGCTGCTAGTGCAGCTTCTCCCAGCAGAGCCCTTCCTTTCACATCTGTCTGCTCTGCCGCTCACGCCCAGACTTCCCTCCCCATGCCCAAGAAGTCCGTCCTTCTTGCCTGCTGGACCTCATCGCCTGCAAGTGTTATCAGTTCCTCAGAGGATCCAAAACTACACCCAGTGTTCCCAACCCTCCCCACATGTGCTCCGTGCACTTTTTCCAAGTGGCTTCTGACTGGCTGTCCCATTTTTCAGGGCTTAAGACCTGAAGCATCCTCTTTCCTCCCACCATATATACATCTTTGGTGACAAATTCCCCTGATACCTGTCCCCAAAGAGTGGCCCTTTCAAAGCTGCTGCCAGTCGCCTAATTTGTGACTTCTATGTTTCATTTCTCAGCTTTTTGTTTTTTCCCCACCTTTTCCTCTTCAGCCTCCCTCCAGAGTTACCTCTAACTTTGCCACCAGTCTCTTATTTAGAATCCTCGGGAGGTTTCTACAGAATTAAACCATACTTTCTAGCAAAGCACTCAGTGCCATCCATGATCTAGCATATGGATGACAGCTCACACTTGGGACATGTGTTCAAATTCTAGCCCCAATGGCTATGCGCTGTGTGATGTTGGAAAAATTACTTAATCTCTTTCTGCTTCAGTTTTCCATTTGTAAAGTAGAATAATAGTCCCAACCTCGTAGTGGTCGGCCCCGCGACCGACGTAGTGGTATTTTGTGTGTGTGGAGAACTTAATTGATATCTTAATATCATAGAGTAATGGCTGGCACCAAGTAAGAACTCAGTAAACGTGAGCTTTATCATTACCATCACCATTATCACTAGCCCCCACCTATAACTTTGGTCTTTGTATCCTATTAAGTTACTCCATGTTGCTCATCCTCTAGCCCACATCACGGTCTATGTTCATGGTCAGTGGGTTCAATCACTTCTCCCTTTCCTCACAGTATTACCTCCACCTCCAAAATTAGGCATTTCAAGAGCCTGTTTAAGAGCTCTGTGAAGTATTTTCTCTTATACTCCTAGAGGTGTTTAAAGCTAACCTCCGCCGCTCTCAGTACCTTTCGGCCTTGGAGGCTTCCTGAAGCAGGTGTGAGGTTGTGTAAGCCCGCAAATGCGGCATTCGCGCCTTTGACATCTCGGTCTTTCTCTTCCTGCCTGGTACACGGCAGGCACTCGGCAGAGCTCCCGCTCTACAGACAGCCGTTTTGTGGCTGGGTCGGAAGGGTGCTCAAACGTCTGCCCTTTGGATTTCAGATTACCAGCAGCCTCTCATGATCGGCACCGGGACGGTCACCAGGAAGGGCTCCACCTTCCGGCCGATGGACACGGAGGCGGACGAGGCGGGGCGGGGCGCCGAGGCCGGCGGCCACTACGACTGCCCCCTCCGGGCGGGCCGCCACGAGTACGCCCTGCCCTTGACCCACGCCGAGCCGGAGTACGCCACGCCCATCGTGAGCGGCACCTGGCGCGCGCGCACACCTTCTCGGAGCGGAGCGGCTACCGCGTGCCGGGGCCCA